TTAGAGCTTTTCCCCCCTCTCAAATCAGGGAAGAAGAATCAAGGCTCGCAGCTTTCCAAATGCAACAGGCGTGCATCTGTCTCTGACGTAGCCTGGTCCTCGGTGAAGTTTAAATATTCTCAGCTCTTCAAAATGTAGGCAGAGCAACCATCCACCATCAAAGCAGACATAAGGCACTGGCTAGGCCTTGCAGCCAGCGCGAGTTAAGAGTGGCACTTCCCAGCTCTGCCAGAAGGAATTTCCATTTTATTTCCCCTGTAAAACCAGGCACTTCCGTTTATTTATATTCTCTAGATCTGTGTTATTGGAGAGAGACTCCCAAGAAAAATCTTCACAGCCTTTAAGTGTATTTGTTTTCAATAAATACTTCTGATACAGGAGATGACACATTTAGAAGTCAGAAGGTATGAAATAGGGAAAGCATTTTATTTGGTTTATGTTCTTTTTCCATAAAGGTCAGCAAGTAAACAAGCCCTGCTAAGGGCAGATGAATGTAGGAACAGGCACGTTGATCAGCTTCTGAGCTTGCAGCCAAGGACTTCCTGAAACCAGGATTCCCATAGCAACCCTTGCAAAGCTCAGATGCGGTGCACACTCATTATACAGGACAAGTCATTAAATTAGAAACAGGAACATTTTGAATTAAGGGTTAAAATATGAGCTAAAAATAATCTAAATCATGAAAGCAAATAGACTTCTAATTTTATTCAAGGAATTTTTTTTTTTTTGCTTCCCACCTGTTTTTTTTCTACATTCCAGGTATATTTTTGCTTCCCAACTATTTTTTCTACCTTCTGAAATCTGTGTATATATAGCCTGCAATCCAGGTGATGGATGACAGATATCTTTGTACCACTATTCATAATCTCTTTTGGGTAATGAGACAAAATTTAGTGGCTCCTTTCACTTATCAGCTTTTTCCTCAGCACTCAGGGCCTTTCCCCAGAGCCTCCGGCTCCCAGTCCTGTTCCTGGAGCCTCCCCCGGGCTGCACTCACTGTGCGCACGGATCACACCAGCACACAGGGAGCTGGAGCACCTGCCTCATCACAGCGTGGCTCCAAAGCCCTTATTAGTGTATTCAGGTGCTTAGAATGCCTTGGTAAGGTCGTCAGGAGAGGTACTCAGGTGCTTTGAATCTGAGCAGGAACCAGCAGGTAACCTGTAGGAAATGGCTTTGCTATCTCTTAGGAAAGGCAATTTAGGAGGCAGGAACCAGATATCCCTGGGATTTTCTAGTTGTGTTTCTCTATTTGAGCAAGACTTGGCATTGCCCAATTACTGCTGTTAACAAAAGCTGAGTAAGTCTTGGTAGTTTGACCCGGTGCTGTTCTTTTGTTAGATAATTCTGAATCGGGTTGGTGCTTTTAGATACTGAGTCTGTCTGCTTCAGCAATAACTCAGAGGTGGTGGAAAGGCTAGTTCAGGAATAGTTTCAGGTGCCGTCTTCAGAACTGTTTGTTCATTAGATTTACCATGTGTGACCAAATGAGGCATAACTGTACTTATAGTTATTTTGAAGTTCTCCTAATAACTGGGTGCCATAATGCATTATCATCATTACAGAATAATATAAATTAGGTGCTTTACCTGGTTTTTATATTCGTCCTTTTGTATTTCTACATTTTTATCTTCACCACAATGAGACAGGAACAAAATACGTGTAATCACAGGGATAGAACTATTTGCTGGAAGGCACCAATAAATATGGAACAACTTACTTACTACATTAAGCTGTCACAATTAATTTGCTTATAAAATTCTTACTGTCCTGCCAGTGAATTAACACATAGTCTCCAAAGAGCTATTCTCATCTTGCTGTTTTCTCTCAAGCCCAATTACAAATGGGTAGACTCTTTCTCTAACCTTCTTTTAACCTTGTTTTCATGTTAGCAAACTGAATATCTGTCAGTTTTTCCTTTATTGCAATGGGATTGCTAGGGGACCAAAGTAGGAGAGGATATACTAAATTCCTGTAATAGTTTTCCTCATCACAGAATTACTCTCAATTTCCACAGTATTTATTGCATAGAATCCTAAAGGAGTTTATGTCAAAAGAGACCCTCATAAACTTCTCTCTTTTGCTTTTATTAGAATTAAAACTTTATACTCTTGTACTGTGGGAGGTCTTTACACACAGTGAATATTGAAAAATCGATCAGTACAAGGAGATTAAAAATCATTAGCAGCCCTGGAGCCTACGCGAGCCGCTCGCTGGGGCTCAGCACGGGGCTGTGGGGCCGCGGCGGTCGCCGTGGGTCCTGTGCAGGCCGTGCGGGTGTCCCGGACATCTCTGATTTAGACTTGTGACTTACTAACCCAATCGTGTCGTAGGCTGCGTGAGTCGGTAGCTCTCCAGGAGCACGCAGCTTTGAGGTAGTGGTTCACGTAGGGAGTTTCTTGTTCGACACTGATTCTAAATCCTATTTATTCAATGCTTGGTGAAAGTTTAATTTATGATTTAAATAAACACAATTCCAGAATACAAAATAAGAAGTAAACATACATATTTTTTTCATTTGCAAGAGAGCTTCTAAGATGCTTTACTTGTGTTAAATTAACCCTAAGGATTAAAAAATATATTAAAATGTATTGCAACCACTATTATATTTTGATAAACAAGTTAATTCAAAAAGGTTATTTGGTTGCCCTTTAATTTATTTATAAATATTATCAAAGAACGGTGAATCACCACCATAACACGTAATCAACGTTTCTTCTGTTCCAAATAAACTTCTTAGTCTGGATTTGTCAGTTAATGGCATAACTCTTGGTTAATTATTAATGTAGACATAATTATGCCTATTCCTTAAATAACCTTCCAAGCTTCCTAGTTATTAAAAAAATTATTCCTGTTGAAAACTGAGTGTTGTGTCATAGTCTAGATCAAAAATTTTTGAACTCCAAGGTTAGGGCTTTTTGCCTGTAGAAAAATTATCGTCATGCTTTTTGATCACTATTCACATTTATATTTTAAACAAAGAATAATTCCTATAGAGCTCTGCATTTCCTTAATTGTATATCTTGTATTGCTCTTTGCTTAAAACAGTATATAGCATCACTTTCTGTGTTTCCCAGAACTGTGCTAACTCCCAAATCCACAGAAGGTTTAAGTTAAGCTTGTCCCTTTCAGGGTCAGGCGGCCTTGTCGTTTCTTACAGAGCTGAGACTCTCTGGCAGTCCCAGTCCAGGGAGGCTGCATCCAAACACCAGCGCAGCTTGGAATAACACTCAGTTTGTGCCCCATGCCAGCTACCAGGGAGGTGCTCTTGTTTGGCACAGAGGTTTCACTTGGACAATTTTCTTTAAATAAACTTAAAAACATGTTGGTATTACACACGCTTCTGTACATCCATTCCTCACTAAGCTGCAAGAGATTATTTGTGCAATACTGTAGGTAGTGCTGATATATAATATTTAACCATGAGGTGGCCGTGTGAAAGGAAACTCCTTGGCATTCTTGCTGGCCCGCAGTGCTGCCTTCATGAGTCACCTATGCCAGCGTTACCCTTATTTGAGTTACTCCATCAGTGAAGTCCTGCCAGCAGCAATCGTGCATGTTATAGAAGGAGTTTCAATATGCAAAGTCCAAATACTCTGAAAACTCACTATTTTGACCGCAGTCTGACAACAGCATTTCTGTCATGCCTGTGTTTATGTCCCTTTTCCGTGGATACGTATCATGCCACAGGTCACTTGAGGCTTGTGGGCCCTAGCAGCAATGCGGTCTGCACACAACCCCCCTCTGAAGGCCCTTAGTGCCCAGCCCGGCCTCTCCTCACAGTGGCTGGTTCTGCTCATTGGTGATAGCCAGTTCCTTTACATTTCGCAGGCTGGAAGCATCGCAGGCTTCCTGTAGTGTATCAGAAGCATCTGAATTTTATAGCTCAGAAAAAGTCAGCTGAGCTTTCAGTAACACTTTATGGCGGCAGCGTGACAGCAGCCTGCCTTACGTTGCTGAGAATGCCATGCTCGGATTTACGGTCTCATTTGCAATCTAAATTTCTTAGCAGCAGAGCCGCTAAGAAGACTCGTCATTCTGAAGTCGTGACCAGGTCTGTAGGTGCCCAAGTGCAGCTGAGTGCTTAATACCCCGTGTAACCTGTTTGTGAACAGCAGCAGGCTCGCAAATTCTCACCAGTAAAGGGGGAAGGTTGAAATCCTCCTGTTACAGAAGACAGAGCCACAGTTAAGCTCAGTCCCCTTCCTGTTCCTGCAGCTTATGCTTCAAATTCAGAATTGCTCAGACCATGGTTAGGTGGAGAACAGCAGCAAGGACTGCAGGTGCAGAGCCACCCCTCTTGGCAGGACAGTTCGCAGGCTGGAGCACTTTAGCCGATGCATTCCTGTAAAACACTAGAACATTTTCATCTGAAACTCTCTATTCTCTTTTCTCTTCCCTGCTATTCAAGGAGGGAAGAAGTTAATGCTTAGAGGAAGGTCTCCTCCGCGCCATGGGAGGAATAGGTGGTCAGCCTCAATCCCACCAGCTCCCAAGGGAAGCGCTGGTGCCAGCAGACCCATGCTGCCCCTAGCAGTACATTACTATGGAAACAGTTTGTCTCTCAAAATGTCAGATTTCCAGTATTTTCTCTTTATCCTTTCACAACAGGTTAGATTAAGGATGTTTAGTAGGCATGTAAATACTGCAAACAGATAATTAACGGTACAATTTTTGATCACCATCTTGTTCACTGCTTAGGAAATTAAGAGTACTTTAACTGAGTCTTATCTTCACCGAACAGGTTCAGCATCTTTCTATACCACTTTGTCACTGAGACATGATCTATTAAAATAATCCTTAAAAAGCTCCTTGAAAACTGTGCTATGTAGTTTTACAAATAGAGGTGTTATTCAACATGAGAATATAACAAGGAAACTAAAGTAACAAAATATTTCTTAAAGAATAGGAAATAGAATTAAGACAGAGTTTCTTATTAAACTTTTTTATTAAAATTGAGTGTTTTTTTTACATATTTAAAATATTTTATACCGAAATTATGCAGTATTTATGAAAACATTTGTATGCAAACACTTGCATAAAAATATGTAAAGTCACAACTGAGCAATATAAAGCAATATATAGCATGATTCAGAAAGTATTTCAGGACACTAGAATACCTGAGTTTTCAATAAGCTGGTTTTCTGCGTGTCACTGACTTTTAACAGTTATATTTAATAATGTATCTGATCTCATGTAAAGAGCACTTCTTTGGTTGGGAGAAACTGCAGGGCAAAGGCAGATGAACCCAAGATTACTCAAGACTGATCTTCAGAATCTTCTTCCACATGAAGATCCACTGTTTGAGATGTTAGGAAGGACTCCCAGGTAGCAAGGCACTGAGGAAAGAAATAGATACGTATGAATATAGCAGATGGATTTCTGTAAAACTGGTAGCCAAGGAGAAAGAGAAGAAAAAAATAGCAGAATACATATGCATTGTCACAGGCTGCTTTTATGGGACTATGGTAAGAGCTAAGTACGGTTTCCTAGGCAGCTCAGTGATATGCAGCCTGTTAGCCAACACGCTGAGTGAGCTGTAAAGGTCACTTTTACATAATGACAGGCGCCCAGTGTGAGCATCATAATTGTATGTGTTAGCATGGAAGATGCTAACATTAATTATGCTCTTCTTTAATCTCTCCCTTTAGTTACAGGCAAAGATCTCTTCCAAACAGAGGGCATGCTGACACAAACCGTTCCTGGGTAATCTCTGTGCATTCCTACTGTATACCCGATAGTCTTCCCAGTTAAATTAGAACAGTTTGTTTCTAAACACACACATGCAATTCATTTTTTCCCCCCGAGTAATCAGAAAGAGAGGGTGAAAATGGCATCCACAGGACAAATGTGTTCCTCCCCTCATGGAAAAGTGTATTTGCAATTGTACAAACTACTACTTGATTTGAAGCACCAACACTGTAGGCAGTAAAATTTAAAAATCCCCGAATGACTTTGGTTCATTGTGGTTTTAATGAGTGTCGGCAGCTTGACAAACCATTATAACTCATAGATTAGTGTTGCTGAGTCATGACAAGCCTATCGTGGGTAACCGGTGGGTGTGCTGCTGCTTGTTGCCCCTAATACCACATTTCCACTTTTTAAACTCATTAAAACTGTGGCCAAACTCTTGCAATAATTTTACTGTTGACGATGCTATTAAAAAAAAAGGAAAAGAACTTAGAATGGGAATGTTACAATAAACGCTCACACTATTGACGATGCAGCTTATTTACTACTTACTGTACAGACTTTTCATATAGAATCTGAAATACTCATAATAAATAGGTCTTCTGAAAATTCCCAGGAAGTATCTTTTATGACATTAAACCCTGGACAGCATCCTCCATGTACGCAAACTTGAATTAATTCAGTATCCTGAAAATGACATCATTTTCCAAGCGAAAACTTTTATCACCAGCTATTCAGGCTATAATAATTTGCTAGGCCCAGTTAAAATTAAATATATAGGGTTCATCTGTCATTGCTTAGGAGGTACGAAAAATATCGTAGCATTCATGCTGATTGAACTTACAGCCACCTAACTGTCTTGTTAGTCACACTTCTAGTGACTGCCATCAAAACGCCAGTGGGGGAATTTGATTTGAAGACAAATTGAAGAGGTTAAGTCCTGGTATTATTGCATATTCACAGACATTCTGTTCTGATGGTCACAAATAATGTTTACATAGAAGCTCAAAGAACATTATAGGGAAAATACACAGTATGACAAGAACTGGGGAAATCCATGATGACAGAAACATGAAGAACCAAGGATGGCCATAAAATCAGAGTAACAGAACAACGTGTTGCAAACTGATTTCTGGCTTAAACGGTCTTTCTGACCTTTTGTTTAGAGCCTTTAAGGTTTGGTCATCAGAGAGATTCTCCCCCAGCCAATGCGACGGTGCTGCTGCTGAGCCCGAGATGCTTGAGCTGGAAGGGGGCATCTTGGTCTTAACGTGTCTCTGCGGTGGCTGCTGGCAGCGTCCCCTGTGGCTCTCGAATCTGAGATTTCAATTTGCCAGAGCCCAAACGGGATAACCATTATGGAAAGCTGCAGGGCACATCTGCTTTCCTAAGGCTTTTTTTCTAGGTGTTGGATAAGAAATGATCACTGTTCCCTGAGCAGCCTGTTATTGGTTTTTTTTTTTTTTAAATATATGTCAGCACTGGCTGGAATATAAATAATTCTAAAGCAAATTCACAAAATATTGCTTATCTGGCTAGCTACAATCTACTAAAGTCTTTCCAGACAAAGATCATTTTTTCTTAGGGTTACATAAGTTACTTGTTTTTTAATTTATTCTCATTTCTATAAGCAAAACATGCTTTCCAAAATGTAAGAGCTATGATGGCTTATTTCACTGTCAGACAGCACAGCACTGCTGCAGCAGACAAGTTTCATAATTAACCATGCCAATACAAAACTAGGTCTCTGTGCCTTAGGCTCAAGCTTTTTATATTGTGCAGCATGAACTGCATAAATGACTTTTTTTAGTGATATATATTTTCCCATTATTACAGAATGATTTTGGGGTGAAAAGGGAGATCTAAATAGAGGACCCAGACAGCTTGAACAAAGGAGAAGGGCAGGGGAAAAAAATGACAACCTAAGTGCAGGAAATTGGATGTGCTTACATAGGCAGCGAAGTTCATAATCTGGCTACTTACACAAGTCTTTTGTAAGACATTAAAAATAAAAGAAAGTAAATACACAAATTAAATAGCAAGAGCTTAAATAAGGCTACTTTACCTAAGTATTTTGAATACTCCAGCAGGTTAGAAAATGGAAATATTTGAAATAACAGTGAGGAGGTTTTCATATAGTATAACTGCATCTCTAGCTAAAAAGGAGATATAAAAATAGAATGTGCAGTAGGGATGAGGACAGAGGCAGTGTGTCACATGCCATGTTTGTTTCTATTCCAGACCCTGTTTTCCATACCTTTTCTTGAAAACGCAATTTATGGTGACATTTCCTAGAATGAGATCTAAAGTCTTCTGTGTACGTGAGTGAGAAAAATAGAACCGTTTCATAGTTGCTAGGTGCAAGGAAACAAAACACAGTGAGTAAAGAAATGAGGGGGAAATGGTTCCCACTATAAAAAAAAAGTCATCCTCAAATATATTTTATAAAATATTGATGTTGTAATACTTGAGGGTTCACAGAGAGATCCTGGCTTTGAAACCACTTTCACAGAGAGAAACTGGTTCGGCCATGTGGGAACTTGTGAAAATCACTAAATTCCAAGGCATTGCAAAGGTACAGTGTGATCAAAATGCATGAGCAGCTAACTTTGCTACGCAACCAAATGACTAGTTAAATGCATCACTAAAGAGGCCTCTAGGGCAAACAACAAATCTCATCTATTTTCCTACAGCTTATACTAGATGGAGAGGTACAGAAGGACTTGGGAGTTGCAGTAATGGGGAAGGAGTATCTTTTTGACCTAATGATTTTTTTGGATCAATTTAAGCCAATACAGCCATGTAAGTCTCAAAAATAAACCAAATAACCTTTGAAACAAAAATTAATTTCCTGGAAAAAAAAGAAGGAACTGATTTCTTAAGAAAAAGGAAATCATTTATGTTTTCTGAAAACAGTAAGCAGTGTCAACACCAATAACAATCCCACTACGTGATCAAAGATAACTTTAGCTCTGCATCTGACTAAACTGCAAAGGTTTAACAGGATTAGTTTGACATGACAAAAGTAAAATTAGAGGCTACGCTGTAAAACAAAGGCTCATTCATGCAGAAGGAAAAATATTTTCTTTCAATGCCAAATCTAATTAAATATTCCTTGCCATTCAACAGTAGAAAAAAAAAATCTTCCTGTATTTATTAGAGTGTCTCATGAGCAGTGGGAAAGCAAACTCGGGTATATTTGCTGTCTCTGGGTTTACAATGTCCAACTTGTCTTTGTATCATGCTGCAAAATCTGTGACTTTATTCAGGCTTTTTTTTTTTTTTTCCTTTTTAATGACTAGAATGAGTTAACAAGACCCTTTCATCTGCTGAGAAAATGAATGTGTTTCTCTTCTCATATGCTTACCACAGTCTGTAAAGGGGGAAAAAAAAAAGGTAAATGTTTAATCAAATGTTTAAAATGAGGCCACAGTTCAACCTTGCTGGATTGCTAACCAGGTTAGCAATCATTTGCTAGCCATATAGCAGGCAGGCATGCTAGCTATGTAACAGCAACTATGTTCAATAATGTCTTTGTATCTTGTTATGTTTTTACTAATGATGTATCTTTAGGCCTCTGCAGAACATCTGTCTAACTTAATGAAAATTCTTCTGCCATAAGGAACTTTCTCATCTGTAAGCTCCACCCTGTGGACAGTCTGTGATTTCAGCTCTTTAGAGCATCTATTCTGAATTAGGAGGGCTGGTACTTCAGGCAACAGTATCACACCTAAGGCACAGGAAAAAGGAGTAAAATAATCAGTGTGGCGTTAACATGTCCTGCATTTGAGAACCTTTGTCTGTGAATAAGGTGAACAAATGGATGTTGTTTAACATACTTTGGATACAGCAGTAAAGTCCTGAGTTTTTTAATTAAAAAAAAAATTATGTTATTTAAGAAAATCCTCTGTATTTTAAGAAGGCACTTCTAATGATTATGGATACAATAATTTATTTGCTTTAAGCCTTCATGGAATAGAGAGAGACTTAAGCATCTATTTAGCTCTGCTGAAATGAAGGCTTTAAGGTCTTTTGAGATCTACCAGAGCAACAGCCAGTGACTGGTCAGTCACGGTACTACTGAATGACATATATACGTGTTTTATAACGTAGCCTGTACATTATCACAGGGCAGATCTCATTCTTATGGGTCTGTGTAGGAGCACCCTGTAAACTTACAATGCTGGGCGTTATTTAGTGTCTCTGTTACAAGCACATTGAGAGACCCAAGCAGATTGGTGATTCAACAGCTGCAGAAACAAAATACCTCTTGTTCAACTGTATTAAACATAAACAGCCAATAAACTGGAAAGCCACTGAAATATCCCACTTACTTTGAATTACTGCATGCAGAGAAATGTAATTCTAAGTAATGCTTTAAAGTAGCACTTGATGTAATGTGAACATGAGCTCAGCTTAGGGGAGACATACTCTTTTATGCTAGCTAAATGATGCTTGACAAGTTGACAGCAGAATCCTTAGGCAACTAAATTAAAGGAAAATCTGCATAACGTCATATTCTTTCCCCATATTTTTTACAAAGAAAAAAATATCATTTTAGAAATTCTAGTGTACCTTTACACACTGTTTTGTTGTATTTGATCAGCTCAGTTTTCATTTTATACAAATTGTACGATTTCAAAGGACTGGAATCCCTAATGCAAAAGCCACCAAAACATGAGCCATTTGTCCCCCATTGCTCTAGAGCTCTCAGAAGTGTGAGGGATGCAGAGCATGGCCGCAAGCAGGAACGGCTCCAGGTTAGGTTGTGTGCCTGCAAAATGAGGAAGCCATTTCCCAAGTCCCAAGACTGGGAAATACTGAGGACCACAGAGAAGCGCTACCGTGGAGAAGAGACACTGCAGGTGAAGAGGCGCGAGCAGGAGCTAAACTGCACGAGAAGGCTGCAGAAAGGATGAGGAGCAGGGCTAGGGGCTGAGCTGGACAGCAGGTGACCCTGCAGAGTACAGAGTGTTTATGGCATCTGCAGTGCCTGGGAGCGTGCACAGACATGCTTTCAAACCCAGGCCTCCTTTTGTGAACGGGTTAGTAGGGATGGGAGTAGAATAGTAGGGAAAAATGGGAATAGGTTAGTAGGGAAGAGTGCAGGAAATGAGATGAAGGATATTAATGCAAGAACAGGCTTGTAAGCATCAAATGGTGCATCAACAGCATGAGAGAGTACTTTGACTTCGGGCCTTTGGGAAAAAGGTAGTGATGCAGAAATGACTAAGCAGGTGAAAAACACTGTAACTGAAGCAGTGTAATGGGCACTGTGCTTCTGCGTCAGATAAAAAAATGAAATTCAAACTATTTAAAGTAGGATTTTGTTTTCTACTAAAAGTAAAAAATGGTATTCCAAATCTCAGGTTACTGAGATGCTCTTCCTGAATTATTACTTCCAAACAGCCAAAGTGGTTGGGCAGTGCTTCTTTTTCTGCATAACACCTCCAGTTTGTAATAAGGCCCTTGTCAGCAATCCCTCTCCCCTAAGTCAACCATCAGCTTCAACTGTAGGCCTCAAAGAAATGCAGTAAGATAAGGTATTTTCCCAAAATCTAGATTTTTAAAGATATGACAACAAAAACTTTTTGTTCAGGTGTCAATATTCAAGAAAAACATCATCAAAAAATAATGACTTTGTGTGAATCCATTTGTCCAATAGTTCAGTGACTATTTAAGAAGAATCGTTTGGTTACAACAATAATAGAATCTTTTTTTTTTCTGTCTGTGACATATGATCATAATTCATGTTCATCGTGAGGTTTGGTATTCTGGATTATAATTCTAATACAACAAAAAGCATTTCCTGATGGAAAGAGAATCAAAGAATTATTTATGTGCTTTAGTTAATCACTCATGAATAAAGTATTCTAATGTATTCCGATATTGATTCAACATTCCTGATGTAGAAGTTAGAGTTAATCCATAACTGAAGATATTAGAGGATGCCAAAAGTTTGCTGCCTGAATTCAGAAAATATTTTGATTTTTATATATAACAACAGATTGTCAATGTCTGTGCATCTCACAGAGTGTATGTTAATTAATTAGACTTGATGATCAAGAGCTCTGTCTTTTCAATTATGTTCTAACAAAATGATTTGCAAAATGAGGACACTGTCATCACCTAACGGGCAAGCCATGAAAAGTTCAGAATACACGCCTGGAAGTTACAGACTGCAACAACACACACATATATTGAAAAATACTCTTCTACAATTAATAGAAGGCTTATTGTACTATTTTCTTCCAACAAACAGATCAGTTCTTAAAAAGAGAAGTTCTTTAAAAAATTCAAGGCATCTGGGTTATTTTCAAAATGTGCCCTCTGCAGAACAATATTCGCCATGATGAGACTTTACAAAATGCTTAACATATTTTGTTACATACTGTCAAGTTTTTAAGGATACATTCTTGTGAAAGGAATTCTTACCAAAAATATTAGACATGATATTTGAATTGAAAATAAAATTTAATTTTAACCATGTTTCTCTTTTTCCAAAGAAGTTTCAATTATTAAAAAAAGTCTATTAATTGTATATACTTGCAGCATTTGTATATTTTCTAAAATGTGCATTAACCTTTTTGGGTTATTTCAATAGACTCCTCAAAACTGTATTGTTATAGCTTTATTCTAGCAATCTGATTACTTCCTGAAAGACAATTCCTTAGCAGAGAAATAACAACAGTGAGAACTTTCTGCATGTGCTCCTTGAAAATAAATTATATATATTTTTCCTCATAAAAATTATTTATGCAAATTTAAGCTTTCCAGAGGGCTTCTTTGTGCAGTTACTTCCAAACTGAAATGCAGCAGCTGACATTGAACCAAAAAAATATGTTCCAGATTCTTGTGCTTAGTAAAACAACACTGCCCTCTGTCGAGGATGAACTCGGGATCAACAGTTGGAGCTCAAATAAAATATAGTTTGTTCAAAACATGTCAAACTAAGGAAAATTGACCCTGATAAGTTGACACAGGTTTGAACGAAAATGCAGAAGTTCCCCTTAAAATGCAATCCGTTGCCTTTTCCACTGAAATAATCAATGAAATAGTAACACTGACATAACAAGTGTGTTTTACCTCTTCATAATAATGGAGATTATTCTCAGCCACATTCGTGAATGCTGATCTCATATCATATTGCATGTTTTGCTTCCATCTCTCCCAGTCAGCTTTCAGAGCATTATTGGCACATTCTACTTTGTCTTCAAGTTTCCCAATTTCTTCTGTGATCTAAATATGAATCACAAGTATTTAAAAATAGTGAAGTCACCACTTCAAAAGCAACTGACGCTGAGTGATTGTTGTGCAATAAGATGAACAGAACTGCAGGACAAGGGTTGATGTTAAACATAACAAGATGATCATTCCCTGGTGAGGAAGGTTGAATTTTATTCCATTTGAGTAGGTCAGCACAATTTCTGAAATATTAAGAAAACAAATTCCAGGCCAGAATTAAAGCATTGTTGAAGATATTCCTAATGACGATAAGTTATGGACACTGGCACCTCTTCATGAGTACACCACAAACACCTGTTCTAGATACCACATGGGAGAAGCAGAGATCAAGAAAAGTGCTTTTCTCAGCCAGAGAGCTTGTTATCTCCCGGGGTTTAATGTGTGACTCTAGTCTGCTTCATCTACACTGACCTTGGGAATGTTTTGTATTCTCCTGCTGTATAACTTCCTGTTTGCTAAATCACTTAATGTTTCCTGTGACCTGTGCTAAAGATCTTACAGACATTTATCAGCTCTAATCACAGGCTGAGATCCCTTATCTATGGTGGAAATGATCTTCAAACAAGATTAGAGTTCATGCCACTCATTGTCAGCAGAATTTCTGGCTATTAGATTGCACTGTCAAGTTCAATCTGACATCTATGTTGAGATGATTAGAAGCTGAATGAGATCTGCTTAGAATTAAAAACGTGCAAGGAGAGTTCAGACTCAGTGTTCCTTTTTAAATTATGTTTTGATTTTTATTATGTGTTGACATATTTTGCGATTTCTAGCCGGATTGATTCCAGAATAAAAGGAGGTCTTAAAAAAAAAAGCCTTAAAACACAGGTGCTGTTACTGCAGTTTGTATCAACCACTGAGTCTGAGTCACTCACAACAGTCAAAACAACAGTCAAAGGTTACGTGAACAAAGTGCTGTAGGTATAACGGGTAAGAAGTGCTTCTGCTCCCCTTACTGGAATCTGCAATAAATCTACAATTACAGACTTCTTTCTTACTCTTCAAGTAAAATAAGTTAATCAAATTTGGATAAATCTTCGTAAGAAATTACAAAGCTGAATCTTAATTATGAGAATAATTACTATGCCTACATCCTAAATGAATTAAAGTTTTAAATTGGTATGTTTGCAATCCTATCTGTGGGTGATGTCGTTTTGGAATCAATTCATAGACTATTAGAGAAGTAAAGAAAAAACAGTAGTTAATATCAGTGGAACAGTACAAATCTTATTCCTTCTACAGAAAAACGAACATGAAATCCCACAAAAACATATCTGTAACTCTTCAAATGTACAGTTTGCTGTAGAAATAAATAAGACAACAAATCCCTATAACTTTAGAATTGAAACAGAAGCTGGGCAGAGAAGAGAGGTTTACAATAAAAAGCATTTTTAGATCATGTTGCATTAGTTTTATTTATCACATAGTGATTAGACCAACTATATATAAATGCCCATGTCAGACAAAGGGTCTTAGTTACTGTAATAATCATTAGTTGGTAAAGCTGCACCTACCTATTGTCGAATAAATTAAGTTGTTCAAAAAGTAACATACATTCATTAGAAAATCTACCCAAAGAATGGCCTCCCAGGCCAGCTTTCCTCAGGGCCTCCACCTTGTCTCACTGGAACAAGGCCCAGGATATTGCAGCTACTCCGAGAGACTGCCCTACTCACCGCATCCTTTTCTGCCCTTTTACTGGCTAGTGCGTCAACTTTGGAATCGAGCTCGCCTTGAATTAGGTCTCTTCTTTTCAAAACACCCTTAATATAGAAAAAAATGAAGGAAGTAAGGCATTTTTAGTTGTCTTTTCAGAAACCCATCATGCAGCTGGGATATTTAATTAATTAAGCTACAAAATTTAGGAATCTTGGCATGATACAAATTCTTTTCTCAAAAACAATTTTAACACCAGCAGTGAAATTTTTTTAATTACCCATTTTTCTCTTAGGTGCTTTTTCAAGGATCTTAAATCCACAATCAGTACTTCAAAAAATTGCCATACATGGCATCACTGACAGCTGTGTAAAACTGTAATTGCAGTCAACTTAATATCAAATCAATCTATGATATATCCATATTTCAAAATAGCAACATGAATTCTTGTAAACAAAAGGATCTTATTTGAGTAAATGCTACAATATAAAGAGGAATAAGTATTTTAAAATAGTATCTGAGATATTTGTGACTTTAAGCCATCAATATTATTTCGTAAGTGCTAAATGTAGTCCAGTAAAATCAGATAAAATGAAAATAAAAAAAAAAGAGAGGTGCTAGTATTGATATATTTTCAGTATATGTAATTATTTCATCCTCTAAAACTTCACTGTCAGCTATTGGATTTTGAGCATATTGTCAAAAAATAATTCAGAAGGCAAGGAAATGAAACTTGTTAGACTACAAAACAGGAACAGTGGTACAGATTAAATTTCCATTTCTGATGGGCTGTGACCTTGAGGAAGTCATTTGAACCTCTCTTCGCCTGAGTTTCCTCATCTGTGTGCTTATCTCAAAAAGGCTGCAATGCATTAGTCCTTTAAAAAAAATAATCGGCAGGAAATATGTAATTACAAATCTCAAAACTTTTATATTACCTTGCCACAACTTGCCACAACAGGTTTGACTGCTTCTTCTGTATACACTAAAGAGATTTGCACTGTTTACTGGTAGCACGGGGCAAGCTGAAACAGCGCAGGGCACAAGCAGCTCTAGTGTCTTTAGCTGTCCTGTGTGACAGAGGTGACTTTGAAATCTTGTCACTTTAACAAACACAACTGAATAACTTAGGAAGCTAAACTTTAAATATTATTTCAACTTTCTTTTTGAACATTTCTTTTTTCGCTAAGAAAAATCGGTAAACCTAACTTTGGACAATTCTGAGTAACACTTCAGTAATACGAACACCCCTACCTTTACCATTCAGTAGCTGGGAATATTGTCTCAGTTTAAATAAATACAGAAAATGTTTATCTGTAAGCATAGCAGCAAAACAAAAAGGTCTGGAATAACTTTCCTTAATATCAAAAATGCTTTTCCCTTTTTTGTTATTTCTTTTGCCTCTTTTAAAACGACATTATTGATTATGAGCCAATTTTCATCATAAATACTGTTTATACTACACAATAAAAAGAGTAATTTTATTACTAATGTGCAACAGCTATAAGTATGTGCTGACTTCCTTCAGCAGAAAAAGGAATTAAAACTATTATTATACTGCTATACTTTTGGTATAATATTTAATATAATATTTACTGTCACTTCTTGCACACTGAGGCACAGCCTAGGGAGCTGCACTCCCGGTGAGTCAGTTAGGCCAGATGTAAATCCCCCTCAGAAAGAGCAGGGTTCCTAGTGCAACTTCTGCTGTGACTAATAGTCACCTCTACAAACTGTGAGATGGAAATTACTTGTGATAAAAAATCCATGGTGAATAAAAGAAACAGCTGTAGAACAGAAATGAGATGCAGGAAGGTTTTCCTCTGGTCAGGACCTTGTAGCAGCCTAGTGCTGCACTGGAAACACTGCATCAAGAACCCTGTGCCAGGGGAAAAAAAAGGGAAAAAAAAAAAGAAGAGGCATCTGTTCTGTAGCTATTTTTTATGAGTGTAAGAAAAATAGGTATTAATTGAATGGAGGGTATGTATCATCTTGTGGCAAACAGCCAAATACACTTATATAATGATGTAGGCAATGGAAGGTCCCTGCTGTTCTGGAAAAAGAAAACAAATTTTATAAGTATATTCTAGAGAGGGAAAATAATCTCTCCCCCTTTCCTCCAAAATGATCCATTTCTAGATAAGTTCATATTTCACCAGTGCCAGACAGGTCTTTCTAGATGACCGTTCCTTGACTCTGCTGGATTACTAGAATGCAGAGCTCTCTTCAGATGACAACAAAACAGACACTCTTTAGCACAGCCACTAAGGGCTACCTGCCCTACTCTGGACCACGCCAAACTGCACATATTGCCACAAACAATCCCTGGGGAAACCTTACCATGAGTATTTCGCTGTAGAGAACATATTCATGTATAATTGGCAGCAGGTTTTCCGAGAGCCCTGCCATTCGTTTCTCTGTAGCCTTGCAACACCTGTCAATGCAGCTGGCAACACCTTTCAGGGAGTCTGCTATGTCTTCCTCTGATGCCGACCAAAGAGTGTGGATGGGGCCATATTCCTTCATTTCATTAAAATACTCTTAACAGGAACATACGCACATATTAGTCTTTTCTTCATTTAATAGATATCTAAGTAATAATAACTACAACTTCATATTTACTGTGAACAAGGCAAGTGACTGAGGTTAAAGTTTAAATTTGCTCAATGACCAAGATAAGTAAAGTGCAGTTCATTGTTGTGAACTAGTAAGTGAAGTTATTGTGCCTAAGCAATTCTCAGAAACCTCAGGAAAAAACTCAGTAATTTCAAAGGACACATATATTCATGTAGATCTGAACTGCTTCATGTTGCCATCATGGAGATGGACACAGGCCATGGCAGCCCTGGACCACAGGCAGTTTTCCATTCTTGTTTTTCTTAATCTAAATATATGGATATTCTAGGGATTATTTCTCTTATGTCCTAATGATAATCTGCCTGTTATGGCACATCAGAAAGATTGAGGCGCAGAATTTATTGTGTCCTTTGGTGGCACTAAAGTTGGACATGTCTGTGTGTTTACAGGCAGGTACCATGAATGCTTTCTTCATGTACTGAAACAAATCATCTTCACTGTTGAATTTATAATAAAAAATGTCCAACAAAAGATGCAAAGCATACATGGCTGTATACCACAAAGAGCATAATTTACTTTGAAATCCGTTGGGCAAAAAACCCGCATGGAAGCTGAGAAGAGCCCCAGGTTGAGCTGCAACTATCAGTATTTGCTGAAGCAGAGCTCTCAGCAGTTCACATCCCCAGCAGCGCTGCCCTGCACACCCCACGGGGTCTGCAGATTGCTATTTGGAAAACAAAGAAAGGAGAACTATCCAGCAGCACTGGGAAGACATCAAAATTCACATTTTGCAACAAATATTTTGGCTCCGATACCCTGCAATTAAGGATCTCAGCCAGCTATTTCCACTGAAGCAAGCTACATCAAAAGCAATCCTTTCTCCTCCTTACATAAAAACCTTCCAACTTAGTCAGGACACACAGAGACCTGGTACTGCACACTGAGGCATAAGGTCTCAGTTATTAGAGAACACAGTGTAGCTCTTCAAATTACACTTTATGAACAAGTAAAACCCCTCAAGTAGTGACCAGTGGATATTCTCATGACCATGAATGGTCTGAGATCAGAGTCAGTTTCAGAAATTGAATAATTCAAAGTGCCAAGTAGGCATTACTGCTAAGCAAAAATTTGTGCTTAGGAACACATCTTTCTTAATCAAGGAAAATACTACCCATCAGTTTTCCATGACAGAAATTATGGTCAATAGGAAAGCTTTTAATTGTCCTAAAAACAACTGCTTTATCAGTACAGAAACAAGCTACAGCATCAAACCAAAAGAAAAGAGGGACTTGGGGATGTGGAATCTGGACAGCGTTATGCCAGTATGGTGCAGCATATTACACCTCACTTAAAGTACAAAACAAAGGGTCATGTACTTCTCCAATAAGCACAGTAAAAAGCTAGCTGGACTTGTATTTTCTTCCTTCCAATTTCCTCATCAAGTAATTTAATGATATGCTAAGCAAGTTCTTAACAGTTCTTTCAGGCTAATTTGAATGTATGCCAAAAGGATGACTGTTAAAATACATACAAATCTTTTTCCCTGCTTGCTCGGAAAAAGCATTTTGTCTGGCATCATGCAAATAAATTTATTTCTCAGACCAACTTACTTTTTCAATATACTTATTTCTTAAAATCAAGAAAAATAATCTTTGTTGTTTGCTACTTACCCCTTTCTTCCTTGTAAATTCTATGAGCTATTTTGTCCAATACATTTATTTTCTGACTAAATGTCTCCATGTAATCATTCATTTCTGTAAACATTTCAGGTCGATTTTTAACTCCTCCTCTTACTGAGGATGCTACAGCTCTTACAGTTTGTCCCATTCTGCTCAGCAAACCTGGACCTTGCTTCTTGTGTGATGAAAGTTCCTAAGAACAAAACATGCTATGTTTACCTTCATGTACCTTTTTAATTTCTCAAAAAATAATTTGCTATTTAAGGCTTTTTATAACAGAACTACATACACAAACCTCAGTGAAGAAAAAAAAAATTCAAATGCCTTTTTACTGCACAGAGCTTGCTCTAAAGTTATGAAACCTGCTTAGAACCATAACGGCTGTGTTATTATTAGCTAAGCTTTTCTGGACAAACATAAGCATGCTGTGCATTGTGCTCTCAAAAAGAGTGATGAAAGAAGGCAGAAAACGTTTAGTCCTTCTTTAGGGCGTGAGCTTCAGTGCAGCAACAAAACTGCTTTGGAAGGAACAGCAACCTTTAGGGCAATACACATGATTATTACCCAACATGCTACAAACAAATTTAACTTGTGGGAATAACATTCTATACATTTCATGCCTTGTTTCAACACTTTTGTACCAAGTCATGGTTGTAGACTCTTGTATACTGACCTAGGGAGACGATTGCTTTACTCTGCTAAGGTAAGACATCATTTCCTATAACTGTAAATAAAACCAAAATCATTTTACCCAGGCCTGTGCAGTAAGAAAAATTTTGAAGTCTTCATTAAAAGTTAGAGTTGGATGATCAGCAATGCGATTCAAAAACTTATGTAAAGCTTTTCTTCGAGTCTCTATGAATTCATCATTAAATCGTTCCACCATTCCTTTCATTATGAATTTTTCAGGCAATGGCTAAGAAAAAAAGAAAAAAAAACTTGCATAACTCTGGATAATATCAGGGGTATTACAAAAGTTCTTCTACCTAATAAAAAACATAGGCAAGTCTGGTAAAATCTGTCAGGTAAAAACAGATTGTTATCAAATTAACATAACCAAGAGTGGTATAAACTAGTTCTTGTAGCAGACTCCAGCAGAATACAACTAAAGCTAAGAAAGAATGAAATTAATTACAATAACAAAAAGATATGAGAAATATCCCATGGGATTTTTAATTATCACATGCATATAACACTAATGAAAGTAGATTAGTGTTTGTGAATCTTCAGAAACTCAAGAAAGACTAAAAACATCCTGGGACTCATAAACAATAAGTTTCAGCAAACCTACAGGAATAATCAGTGTTGGATGTGCTTCTTCCAGTTTGCTCTTCAGCCAGAGGAAATCCTGATACCGCCTGCGAACTTCATATTCACTGGAGTCAAATTCAGAGCGAGATGTCTGAAAACCATAGAAAAAAAAAATCAGGCCCAGAATTTTAGAATATTAAAAGAAAGAACAATATTGTGGGTTTTTTTTGGACCCTGCTGATATTGTGTGCTTGGACCTTGCTGATAATAGTCAACAATCCCTATTCAAAACCTGAAAACCTTACCACAGAGACAAGATTATTGCACTGTTAAGTATTCTACATTTCATCACCAATTCTAATTTTGTTACTTTTGTACTCCTTGCTTAAATCACCAGCAAACATTTAATGCTTAGAATAAAAATGCTTATTACTGTGTTGAAAAATTGCCAAACCATGACACTAAATTTATCACTGCTCTATCTTCTGGAATCAATGTAGAAAAGAACTCATGTTTCCATTACAATAATGTCTGCTTAACATTCATTTTTTCACGAGACACTTATAATGTGACGCAAGCAAATTCTAAAAAACTCAAACATACTTTGGTAATCTTATCATTTTTGAAGGCGAAATAAAAATTTTTCAATGTACGTGGGAGGAATGCTATTATTTTATCATAATCAACCAGCACTACAAATTATGTACAAGAAGAAAGGACAGAACAGACAAAAACTAAAGCAAAAGAAATCCACCTACAGACCTTCTATACTTGCCTGAAGAAAAAACATTCTCTTTTCTACATAAACATCCATAAAGTGAAAATTATTGCTAGCAACTTAACAAAGATGGCTCTTTTCCCATTCCTTAAATATTTTATGAGGAATTGATATCTTCTCTTACTTAAAGATGAATAATTCCCATTTGAAAACTTGGGTTTTAAATGAATCTTTTAAAAAGAACTCAAAGTAAAATAAATTAACACAATGATTCTCAAAATGCAGCCTGCAAAATACTTGCTGGTAATCTCAAAAGAGTTGGCTGCTCTCATAATGCTGGCTTTATTCCTTATTCCTTGCGAGTAATTTGCATTCAGGGCAGCCAAAAAATACACTAATTTGATTCCTAATATTATCTTTTCATTTGAGAATTGCTGTAGCTTCCCCAGCAATAATATGCAACTGTAAATAGGAACTAGACTTCCATGTGAAAGTGGATGTGGCAATTACAAGAGAATGGGATTGAAGGGCTTTGTAGCAGCTAACATTTATTCAAGCAAAAACATCATTATCCTGCAACTGATCCAGAAGTCATGAATACTTGGTCTGATAGCGTGTCTTCAAACCAAATCAATCTTTCTGCTCTTTCATATTCCTGTCAAAGATCACAGCAGAAAATGCCATTTTCATGTAGAACTGATTTTGCAGTGAAGGAATATTAATGATCTATTTTTGCAGCATAGAAGTCCTGAATATGTGTGCATGTAGACTTACGAAACCAGATTTGCTTGCACAACCTACCCTACAGTTTCATACGGCTTTAGTGGTCTCTAATGCATAGCAGAGTCTCAGTATAATTTTGAAATCTGAGTTAAGATGTCAGAGAATGATCCACAGGAAGAGTCAAAATGTTCTAAGGTTGCAATAAAGAAAAAAATACACCAGCGCTGTTATTAATGCAGCCCATTAAGAACAGCAACCGCAGCAGCAGCAACTTACCTTTGTGACTACTCTGTATGTAATAAATGTTTCAATGGCTGTAATGTGGCTTTCAGGATCATCAACTGTAATGAAGAGATCTCTTAATTCTGGTTCTTCTTCAAATTTGTACTGGTTTATCATAGATGCGGGGGATGTTGGCATTGAAGGGCTGAACGAGTTTGCCTCAGCCAGGGATGCATCCTACAGACAAGACACAAGAACACCCTTATCAGTACGTACTTACCCACACGTCACAGATGCTAAAATGGAAAGTTCTTAAAGGTAAAACAAAGGGCAGATGAGGGAATTACAAAACACATTGCAAATCTGTTATCCTTTTCAGTGTTTGCTTCGGTGAGCAAGAAATGAGATTTATTGTATTGCTGATGAAAAAGCAAAATGTCACCGTTGTACAAGAATGCTGTGCATGCCGAGGAAGACAACCTGCCTAGGAGTGCTAAAACTAGTCCCAGTTACAGTGTGGGATCTTTGCCAGCTTTCTTACAAGTGTTAGAAGCAAGTTACTCAGGATTTATGAAGCCAGAATTATCTCTAGTATCTGAACAGGGTGATAAAAAAAATAAAGTAATAAAACCCAAGTCAAAAATTTTTATTGGAACTGGACACTTTATTTTGAATGTATTTTAAAATAAATTTTGAAATGGAAAATTGTAATAGAGACACATACTTAAGTAATATTTAAACAACAGGTAAAAATGACATTAAGAAATGCTGTTTGCTTTCTAAAAAGAGAAACCCTGAAGCCACTGGTCTGCTTAAGTGCAAAACCACCTTTGATAATATCAGCCACTATCACCGCAGCACTCGAAGAATACTTCCTCCTAACAGCCCGTTGTGCTCACTGAGTTCAGTGGTTATCACTCAAATGCTGAGAAACCAACTGGAAACAGGCAAGAAATCTCATTTTCTCCCTGTGATACAAGTCTGGGTGAGATCTATTACTCTACAATCTTGAAAAATAAAGTGACTAGGAAAATAAATTCAGTTTACTAACTCAAAAAAAGCCTAATAATGTACAAGAATTAAAATTATTCATTCTACTTTAAAAACAAATATATTATTTAGTGAAAAATAAATACTGCTTCGGCAACTTTTGACATAATTAAAAAACTAAAATCATAGTAAGTGTATAGTTATTTCTAAAACAGCTTATCTGAATATACTCAAAAGAAGATAAGTATATTGATTCTTCTTTTAAAGAAAAAAAAACATTCAGTGTAATGGGTATACTTAGTGAAAAATAACATTTTTAAAATTCCAGTCAATGAGATTTGCCTTCTCTTTAGAAGAACAATCTCCAAGTTTACATGGAAATATCTTTCTAAATACCATGTAACTCAGTGTTCATCCTTATTTAAAGCTGGCCACTTGAACCTGGCACAACTCAGGATATCACCGACCTCCCAACCCTGCATCTCGCAGCCACCTGAGATCCTGGAGGATATTCCAGACGACTCCGCAGTGCCAAACCCCTCACCTCCCTGGCCACCAGCAATAGCAGGGCACTCCTTTTTACAGGATGGAAAGCACCCTTAATTCTCTGGCACACGGGCACCTACCTCGACTCAGCTCTAATCTTCACTTCATGTTGCAACTCCTGTGCTTAAGAGTACGGTCTGTATTATGCAACCATAGGAGGGAGAATGTTAGGAGCAGACACAGCTTTACAGCAGCCCAGTAATTTCCTAAGGGGTTACCACAAGAGGCAGCAGCTGTGACAATATCCCCGGCAACGGCATCTGCCACTGAAATACTGATTTTTTTCGGAACAGGAACCAGTCTATGATGTCCCCATCTTGGATTTCTACTTAAATTACTGGAAGTTGAATGTGGCCATGTATAAATTGGTGGCCACGTGGGGAGGGCAAGGGAGGAGCTGCATTTAAGGAACCATCTGAGCTCTCCTCTCGAGCTCGGTACTCGCTGTAAGTGGAAAGCAGGGCTTTTCTCAGGGGGGCAGCGTGGATGCCCGTCGCCCTCAGCGCTCTCTGCAGGCACCCGAAGCAGCGCACGCGCGAGGGGAGGCCGCAGGAGCCTCCCGCCAGCCCCGCGCCAAGGAGCGCGGGCAGCCCAGGGCACAGCGGCAGCGCGTCCAGCACGCGCTCTGTGCGCGAGAGCGGATGCCAGGGGCCAAACTACGGCTTCAGGAAGACCGAGGCACAGAAACACAGGTGTCGCCTCCAGCACTTGCTTTCAAACTTCTCCTTAGTCGCTCTTCATCCACCACCAGGTTCCTCTCCTGCAAGTAACACACTTGGATGACACACGGTCCAACAGACACATTTTGTCACCACGCTGCAGTGATTGGCAGGCCTATGTCAAGAAGAAGAAGAAAAAAGAAAAAAAGCCTAGCATCTGTAATAGAGGTATCTAACATTTGGGTTCTTGCCTCTAAGGCAGAATTAAGAATCTCCTGATTCATATGACTTAGTCAGGAGTGTCAAAAAAACAGGCTTCCTACATCCTACACTGCTGTTTCAACTCCCTTTCCCGCCTTGCAGCCTCCATCACCTTCACATCTCCTCGAGCCCATTCGCCGTGGGCAGAGCATTCCTAGAGCTGCAGCTCTGTGCACTTCGAGGCACTGGCCAGGAAAGCAAAGAGGCAGAAACCCCCATGGCTCTTGCTGTGCAGGGACTGTGTTCTGGGTCTCTCTCCTCTCAAATTTGCAGATACGTAATCGCCCTCTCACACTGGCCTGAAATCAGTCAGCGAGACTCCAGAATTAGTAAGGTAAGGAAAACACTCATCCAGCACGAGCAGCCCCCGAACAGGCTGAAGTCCACACGGAGCACAGAGCTGCCTAGAGCTCCCTGTAGATAAACATTAAGTCCAGGGGTTCCCCTAAGCACAACTGCTCACTAGACCTTGGATGCTTGACTCATGGTGCCTCCATCCATTCCCATCAGGAGTCAGAGCTTGCAATCTTTTGGGACTAGATAACTAAAATATGTCTTGAAGGAACTGCTGGCAAAGTAAATCTAAATTAGAGAACTGCTTAGTTATTTCTGTGTTCTTTTAGGAAGCAAAGATATGGAGGAAGACAGACGTTAGAATAGTTGGTTTCCTGGCTGGGACATTCACCTATAAATCAGCCTGAAATCTCTGATCAGCCTCTTTTGAAAGAAAAAAAAAGAACAGCCTCTATGCAATTCTGAAGTTGACAGGTAAGTCTTTTCCAGAAACACCATGAGTTAAGTTTTCTGTCATTATGGAATGGAGACAAACATTGAAAAACAAAGAGTTTTGAAAGGAGGACAAGTTAAGATTTTAACAGCTTTGTCAATGCTAGGTGACCACACTGATAGCAAGGAACACAAGGATTAACTGAATCGACACTGCAGTAGGGATGGTACTTTCCATGTTGAAACTGGTGGAATAAAGTAGGTTGTGAGATTCACAGCTCAGCCTTGAGAAGCTGTCTGTGCTGGAAAGACCTCACAACTTTCTCCATGGTAACAGAAATGAGGATAAAGGGAAAAGCAGTTCATGTTCTATAATGCTTTATCACAGTTGCCAAATAAGATACTCATCTGTAATATCTGAGGTATGTCAGAGGATATTGGGTCAATGGTTTATGACACTGTCAGGTTAAATGACTGTGAATTTTCATAAAACAAAAGCCTTGTGTTTACTTCTTGAGTAATAACTCAGGATATTGAGGCTGGCAATTTTTAAGAATCTCATTTTTCAGCATTTTGGTACCTGGTCTACTTTCACCGACTAGACTGAGAAAAATGCAGCCAGTCCCGCTGTGAGGCCTGCACTGCGCCGCGGGACCGCTCGGCCTGCAACTGCCTAGGGACACTTGTGTGGGAATCCCACTAAAATGCTCTTCAACACAAGCGAGCCTCGCAACACTGTTAGAGGAAAACTGCTTTAGACTTTCCCCTTGATACACAGCACACAAACAAATAGGAGGCAACCCAGAATCGACCTCACAGATGTTCCTCATCTCAGCCCTCCAGTCTGCACCTGAAAGGAAACTATGATTTTCTGGCTGATGAATGCAGGTGTCCAAGACTTGAAAAGAACACGATGCTTTCACATGGTGTGATGCATTGTCTTGTTTACAGAAACAGTGATCACTTTGCTTTGCATGCATTAGCAGTTGGTAAGCTTTAATATAAGCAGGAAATATTTTGCAGCAATACAGGTGGCTGCAGTTTAAAGGTGTGGATATTTGACATACACAAGCAGTAACTCGTATCGTCTATACTTGTCTTTATATTTATTTGCAGGGAACATCATTCTTCTAACAAGCAATGCAAATGCTGATATATTTTATTTATATTTTATTTTTATTTTATTATGCAGAACTGCCAGAGCTTACTGATAAAAGCCAAAGAATTCCTAAGTGAGAAACAAAGCTAAAATTGTATGTTAGCTTTTGCATAAAAGTTCCGTTCATATATCTCCTGGTGTCAAATCAGGACTGGATGCTTTTCTAGAAAGCATGATTTAACTAAACCCAAGTTATGCTGCAATAAAATACAGATAACTTGGTGAAATTTAGCCTGACCTCTTGTAAGTTACAGACCATTAAATCACCTAATAGTCCCTTCTGGCCTCAAACTCCACAAATATCACAAATAGTACTGCAGGCATGGTTTAAATATATAGCTCCTAGGAATGAAGCGCCTATCTTTCAATGTTTTTTATTAACATCTACCAAAAATATATCTCGTTTGCAGAAGGACAGAAAATATACATTTAATTTATATTTGCCATTACATATTTTGAAATGTGAAAAATATTGGCTATTTATTGTCACATATCCTGTTGCACAACAATTTAGAAGGCTGAACAGAGTCCAGAGCCCTATGTGTATTTTTCCACCTTGGCTCCCTGCATGTTTTATGTTTTATTTTAGATGCAGTCTTGATAATGCAAATACACGCATCACACACTTACTTTCTAAATGCCTGATAAGATAGGAATTAAGTCCTATCTTAACCAAATCAGTACAAAACAAAAATCATTATACATGTAGCCATATCATACTTAGTTATACCCATATTAAAGGAATTAATGAATATCACATTAAAGGAAAATAGATTTTGCTCTTGGTATCCCAGAGTATTGGATTATCTGAACACATTCAACTTCCATTGCTTGCAGTAACAATGACAGCAACACTGCAAGTCTTAAAGAATCATACACGAAATTGCAACTA